TTTCTCTAAACAATAAACAATCCACATAAAGAAGGTTATGGCCGTACGAAATTTTATCATCAAGCTTATAAAGAGGAGGAAGATTCATCATAAAGCTATGATAATGATATTATAATTTGTTTGCACGGACCGGAAGTTCCTATATATTTATATTAAAATGTGTGACAGTTCTTTCTGACCGCATAAATTCGAAGGCTGCCGATCTTGTAACAATAATCACTCCGTGGATAAAATGTGGTCCCAGTAAGGAAACATTTCTTGTAATAGTAAATTTTTTTAATAAATAGCGATCGTTTTTTTCTTTTCGATTTTTTAAATTCAATCCAATAATTATAATAATAAATAATTATTATTTTACAAAATAACAATAACAACAACAATAACAACAACAACAACATCAACGATAATAATAAATGGCTATATTCGAAAACACGACTGCATATTTAGTTGTCGCGACATTAATCATCGGCTATTATACTTATAAATGGATAATTTATCCATTATATTTATCGCCTTTGTCTAAACTTCCTGGCCCTCCTCCTGACCATTTTCTGTTAGGAAGTTTCTTGAAAATATCTAAACCTATGGTGAGAGCATGATTTATATATATATATATATATATATATAACTATGTTTATATAAAAATAAAAAAAATTGACCTCCGTATTATTATATTAAATATAATAAGAGTGGAGTGGATTGGGCAGAAAAATATGGAAATATATATAAGGTTCATGGATTATTCAATCAACCAAGGGTTTATATTCTTGACGAAAAAAATATTCAAAAAATACTTGTTACTGATTCATATACTAAATTTAGTAAAAGAAAGGATATTCTGGGATTTTTAAAGAGGATTGTTGGAGAAGGTATTGCGGTGGTAAATGGTGATGTACACAAGAGACAACGTAAACTGATGAATCCATCATTCGGTCTTAATAGTATTAGGGTAAATAAAAATATTTGTATTTACATTAACAGCGGGTTTGTCTGTGTGACTAGTTACATTAATATTAATATTGATATTATTTATTTAGGATATGATTCCAGTATTTATAAGGGTTTCTAATACATTGAAAGATCTATGGAAATATGAAATAAAGAATAGTCAAAATATTAATAATAATGATATTGATAAAAAAAGTGCAATAATTGATGTTGGTCATTATATGGGAAGAGCATCTTTGGATGTTATTGGCTTAACTGGTAAGTGGTTCTATAATAGAATTGAACAGACAATAAAATGATGCAATTAAAATCAATATTAACACAATTAATTATTTGATATTCAGGGTTTGATTCTGAAATAAATTCTTTGACAGGAACATCAAGACTTGCAGACTCATTAGGTGCTCTTTTTGATAATAAACATGGGTTAATGTTTAATTCAGTATCATCTATTTTTCCCATATTGAAATCGCTGCCATTAAAAATAAATCAAGATATCAAAAACGCTTCGTTTGAAATTGAAAAAATTACAAGGAAATTGGTTCAAGATAAATTTGATAAATTGAAAGAAGGTAAATTAGATAGCAATGATTTGGTAAGTGTTTTGGTGAAAGCTAGTTATGGACAGGAAATAGATCCAAGTGAACAAATGAGTTTTGAAGAAATAAGAAATCAGGTAATTGTTATTACAAAGGAAATGAAGGAAATGATTTTTTTATAATTATCATTATTGTTTTTTAACTAAAAAAAAATTTTTTTCAAGATTATGACATTTTTGATAGCAGGACATGAGACAACCGGAGTTTTGATGACTTGGGCATTGTATTATTTGTCCAAAGATCAAGAAATTCAGGACAAACTCAGAGAAGAGATTATTAAAGAATTTCCTAATAAAGATTCTGAGCTAAATTTTGATCAAATCAATTCCATGGAATATTTAAATGCAGTTTGTAAAGAAATACTCAGAATTACCCCTCCAGGTATATATTATTATAATGAATAAGAAAATGAAGAAGAAATATTGTTATGATTATTATATAAATACAAATGCATTTTTTATATATTTACATATTTTTTTTTATATTATAATAAAAGTCATAGCTGTGACTCGTTCAACAAATGAAGATGTCATGATTGATGAATATCTTATTCCAAAGGTTTTATTTTATTTATGCATCCATTATTATCTTTATAACATTATTAACATTATTAACATTATTGATATTAATAAATTAATTTAGGGCACGCCAATTTTCATACCATTCTATCAAATTCATCATTTGGCATCAATTTGGGGTGATGATGTTGAAAAATTTAATCCATCACGTTGGTTTACAGAAAAAGTCAAAGGTCTTTCTCATTACAATTATCTACCATTTTCAGCTGGGCCAAAATCATGTATTGGTAGTAAGCTTGCATTAAATGAAGCGAAAATTATCTTGTGCAATTTATTAAGAAACTTCCAGTTCCATGAAGTTGAAGGTTTCAAAGTTGCATCTAAAATTACTATTACTCTTAGACCTGATCCTACTGTGAAGTTGTGGGTTAGCGAAATTGATTATTAATTAGCAGATAAAATAGAATATTCTTCTTATTATTATTCATCATCATTTATTTTATTTTTTAAATACACTGAAATCAGGTGTTTCGTTTGTTTATTTTTTATTTTATTTTTTAAATACACTGAAATCAGGTGTTTCGTATGTTTATTTTTTTTTTTATTTTTTATTTTCACTATATATAACGAGAAACAGTTAATTGATTATAAAAATATTAAATAAAAAAAAAAGGTCCACTGTAACGAGCTTTGACTATTAATTATTTTTATTGATTTATATACAGTAAATATAAATAAATGGACGAGACTTTTTTTGTAAAAATAACGCTAACACCATCATCAACATTAAATTTTTATTATAAAAATATACGCAAAAAAGAATAATTAAAGGATGTGAATGAATGAACGGACGGAATAAATGTTTATTATTATATGAAAATAGATATTTTAATAGACATAGATTTGTATATTGTGAATTCGATTCTATGGTAATTGCGTCAAAAAACATAATATTATTTGGCTGATAGTCGTCAATGATTGCCTCATTCATTAGAACTATAAAAAAATTGACATTGAATTGTGTAACGAATATCTTGACTTTTTAATAACTCCATAACGATTTTTGGAAATTTTTGTGATGATCA